TTATATTCAAGTCTCATGTGTGTGTATATTATATTCAAGTATAAAAATAAAAATATACATATATTGATCGTAATTTCATTTATATAAATGAGTTTACAGATATTTTGATTATATGTGTGTGTGTGTGTATTAAATAATTGTTATATAAATAAGAAATAGAGTCACTTGAGATAAAAGAATTAAAAAATATTGGGTATAACTAACGAAAATGAATAGTCTAGTTAATTTAATGTTTTGATAATAATTATATCAATAAAAAAAAAGCAAAATCTGAGAAAAAAGAAAATTATGATTGCGATGCCCAAAAATTTCACCTTATTGTCGGTGTTTTTTACCTACAAAATTACAAATTAAGAAACTATAAAAAAGACAAAAGTGAATTCATAACACAAACAAAAATAATCAAAATTCTAAAGTCTCAATAGAGACTTCTGTTAACCCATGATCCAATGCCTTCTTACCTATATTGGTATACTCTTCTGCCATAGATGAACAAGTTGAGGGTTGTATCGGTTTACCCGGTTAAACTCATGTTTATAATTCTCTTATGTCGAATGGGGTAATTGGTAAGGAAAATAATAGAGAGACATAGATTGAAGGATGATTAGATCAATAACAATAAAAACAAAAATGAAAAATATAAAGAAATTAAGGGATGAAGATAAAGTTGGATGGTTTAGAGGTTAATTGTTAATTAAAGTGGTTACAAGATTACCAAAATGGTCTGATTACCAAAATGGTCCGATTACGATAAAAAAAAGCATACATTTTCAGATGTAGGGACATGGAAGTCTTTAACATAATTAATATTTTAAAAAATTCAAAAAAAGAAGAAAATTTCCTAGCTAAGAACCCTACTCTAAGAAGGTGTCACATCGCTTTGTGTTGGTTTTCTTTTAAAATATATATAGATTTTTGGAAAAATTATTAAAACAGTCATTGTTCATGATTGGTTTCATCTCCGAACGTATTTGATATAAGGTTTTTGAGTATATACTGGTAAAATATAAGGTTTTTTTTTTTACCATTTTCGTTGAAAATGGGTAGAACATGTTAAACTTTGTTCTATTTTTATTCATGTCTGTTACTCATATCAATCATGTAACAATGATCTATGTTTTGTTCTATTTATTTTGTCACATTTCAATATCTCAAATCGATCCAAATATTAATATTATAAAAAAGTACCATTTTGGAAAGTGAATAATGTTTCTGTCGATGTGATTTTAGTAAATCCTCTAATTTTTAGATTTTCAATACTTTATCATAAATAATTACTCTTTTTAAGAAGTTTGAGATATAAATTCTTTTTATGACAAAACCAGTTAAGAAAAGTATGTGATTATTTTTTTCTAACGAAAGATCATGTGAGAAAAGAAATTAAGGTGAATAACATAATAAGGGATATCGACTTTTGATCACTTTTAATCTCACCCTACCCCATGAATTGCATTTGATACAGGAATTGACTCGTGCATCTCATTAATGTTGATCTTCAATTATAATTGATATAAGGGTAAATATCCATTCTACCCTTTTTATTACACCTTTCATTCTCAACGAAAACCAACCATTTTTTTTAATGGATATACTATAAATTTTCTAAAAGTTGTTATTAACTCAGAAAACTTATATCTTTAAAAAGAATTACCAACTATATGAGACGGTCCAACTTATATCTATATTTAGGATTTCAAAACTACTCTTGTTTTTTCATGCATTATTGACTTCCTATACCTAGTATTGAGTGTATGAATGTTAAATATTTTTCTCTCTCTAAAAAATAATAAATTCTTAAGCTATAACGAACATAAGCTTTTGATTATAAGATTGATGGTTCCAAAAAAGTTTGTTTAACCTTAAAAGTTTAAAACGGTGATGAAAAACATTAACATGAGTTGAAATTGAAATCTCAGTTATTGATATTGATTTAGATAGAGTGTTATTCCAAATAGTTAACATTGTAGGACCGACGGATACAGATTATAAGTCCCCTCCTCGTCATTTAATGAGACTATCCCCAGTTTACCTCGAATTTAGCCTCGTTTCTTCTTGCGTAATAAGATTCTTATTTAGTATACGAACTCTCTCGAGTCTTGATTCATAGTCCCACACGTAAAAGTACATAAGGTTGCATCTCCTTTTGCCGATCAAGAAAGGGAAATGTGATACCCAGCCTCGATTTGAGCCAAACGTGGATTCCTGACATGGGTCATAGTTACCGGGGACCCCGAATCCTCAATCGGGACGGACGAACCGGTTTCCTTGACAAGTGGAGATAAATCACCTGTGTACCTATAATCATGAAACTTGTATTGTTTCATAAATATACTTCACTTAAAAATTTAGAAAATAAATTCCAATAAAAAATTAATTTATATCAAAGATTTTTGAATTTATAATAGAAATAACAATAACATAAATAACTTGTACTAACTAAAATTAAAATAATATAATTTAACATTCCAATGATGAAAATTAAATGCAATTAAAATATCCTTTGTCATTACAATAATGGAAATAAAACAGAAAAATACAATCACATTAACTTAAATAAAATTACATTACTAAAATAAGTAAGAAACACACATTAATTTTAAAATATTATTATCTTCAAAATATTTTCTGAAATTCAAAATACAAATAATTCAAAACATATCAACAAAATAAACAAACCATGACAAATTTTTATCTTTAATTTGTTTTTTTAGGGTTAAATACATGAAATAGCAACTTACTTTCATAAAAAAAATTTATTATAACATTCTATTTTTGTTTTTCTTTATTATAACAATGTACTTTCAAATTATTTTTTATTAAGGCATCGTACTTTAAAAAATTTACCTATTATAACAATGGTTAACCTGTTACCTTTTAAACATGTTAACCTCTTGATTTTTTTTGCTTGTGTGGCTTTAATGAGGTGATGTGGATGACACATCATTTTGATACTTAACTAAAATAAAAATAAAAACTTATTTCAAATTATTATTAGTGATTTTCATTTTTCATTGCTATGATTTAAAAAGAACATTTAATTTTTTTGACTTTTTCTTATTAACTTGCATGCAAATTAAATATTCTAGAGTGACATATTTTCTTAAATAAATATGATACATTATTTTCGAGAGATATTTTGTTTGTAAAAAAAGTAACACTTCTTATTTTATGTTGTTTAAAAAAAATACATATCTTTTAAAATTCTCTCTAAAATGTTAATGAAATAAATTGTGATCTATAATTTTTTAATATTATTATATAATAAATAATTCAAAAAATTTAATTAATTTAATATATTTATATGTCAAATAAAAGTTTTTTTTTTGGTAAAAAAGGAACAATTCTTATTTTCTTTTTTCAAAAAACACAATTTTTTTTTTCAAAAATATCAGCGAAATAAGTTGTGTTATGCTAATTTTATTAATATTGGTATATTAATGAATAATTTGGGATTTTTTTAATTCATTTAATAGATTTATTAAATATCATGTAAAATATCTAAATATTAAAACTAAAAGTACATGTTAAATAAAAACTAGTAGATGCTATAATAAAATAATTTTGAAAGTACAATGTTGTAATAAGAAAGTCGCATCACTATAATACATGTAGACAACATACGTGGACAATGAGGTGGCATGAAAACCTGGTATAATGGGTAAATTTAAATCAAAAGGTCACCTAATGCTATAATGGGTAAAATTTTCAAAGTATAATGTCCTAATAAAAAATAATTTGAAAGTACGTTATTGTAATAAGAACAACTGAAATTACAATGTTATAATAAAAAAAATTATGAAAGTAAATTGCTATTTTATGTATTTTGACTTTTTTTTTTTTTATAAATGTGATGGGCTCATATCCAAACAAAAGTACAAAAGAAACCACTATACCAATTGCCAAATCAACATAAAGCCCATGAAGCCCAATACGATGATCCAGCCCACCTGCAACAAAAATGGTACCTTTTAACCCCACATCTCAATTGGGCTTGCCGTTAAAGCATTTCCATTTTCCAACTTTCAATCCAAGTTCCAACAACAACAATTTCTTCAAAATATTGAAAAATATAGAGAACCTTTTTTGCCTTTGTTTTAATAGTTTCAACTCTAATTAAGTAATTACCAAGTTACGTTACCTTACAAGATGAATATGGTAAGGATCAAGAATTTTATTCGATAAAAGAGAAACAAGGACCGAAAGTCTTACCCGGTAAGTGAGAGGTGACAGTTCTTATTACGGTTAGTGTTTACCGGGTAAATTGTTGCATATGATGATGTTTTCGTAGACTAAAATATTACCCAGTAAGTAAGAGATAATGTTGAATTTCACAGGTAAACGCTTACCGGGTAAGTGATTAGGTAAACGGCCCCTTAACGTCTTCACGGAAATTTGGTTAAAGATGCTCCATTTTTACATTTTCAAGTTGTGATGATAATATGGGGTTGGTGGTGTCAAGGCTATAACCGAGTATAATTCTTATACAACCGGAGACCATTTAGATATGTTTGAGTTTGTTGCTCCAAAGATGACGGAACAAGGAAATGCTCTTTTTTCACATCGTTTGGCCGAAAGTTTTGATGACCCAGTAGGTTCACAGTTGAGTTCGATGAGCTTAATATTTGCAGAAGAAGATTGTCGTCGACTATGGATTCTTGATTTGGTTTTTGAATGGCAATTGTGCTCTTGTGTCGAACTCCTTTGTCGTCACTCGTCATTATTCTTCAGACTAGTGCAATTTACCTTGTTAGAAAATGTCTAGTATCACAAGAACAATTTTCTTGGCTAGACGGGAAACCTTTGAAGCAGATAAAAAAAGAGAATCGATGGACGTAACCTGATACGGAAACTCATGGTTACGGAAAAAAAATAGACCAATATCACTTATCAATATGTGCATTGGTAATTACAAAATCAATAATTTTATAGTTATCAACCACAAGAGCCAATAATAAGATAAATCATAAAAGTTAGATGATCAAATTATATACCATGCATTAAAAGTAGCACATTTCTTGTGATTTTTAATTTAAAAGAAAGGAGATTAACTTCTTATTGTTCCTTGAAAAGTTCACGACCAACAATCATCCTTCTGATCTCACTCGTTCCGGCACCGATCTCGTATAATTTAGCGTCCCGAAGAAACCGGCCAGTCGGGTACTCGTTCACGTACCCATTACCACCCAGACATTGAATTGCCTGCCAAACAAACATTCACATTTTCTTATAAACAAAACCAGTTGAAAAAATGAATGAATCATTTATGATCTATCTCATTGCACCTGCAGAGCTACTTGGGTGGCTCTTTCTGCAGCAACAAGTATAACTCCAGCACAATCCTGTAAAAGGAATTTGGTACAATTGTTAATGCCATTCCTAACTTTTGAAGAAGGAATTTGGTACAATTGTTAATGCCATTCCTAACTTTTGAAGGTCAAAATAGGGATTTTCCTGACCGTAATCTTCAAGGACCTATGAGATTAACTGGCCCACATAGCCACAGTTACCCAAAAAACAAAAAGAATTTTAATGTTGATAGGGTAGAAAGTGGACCTTTGGAACAAGTATCCCATTATCACATTGCCTTGCAACAGAATACATGTATGCTCTGTAAAAAATGTTAAATGTTGATCGTTAGTAAAAACAAAGAAAAGGGAGGTTCAAGAGTTATGAAGTCGAGCAACAGCATGTGTTTTACCTTGAAGACTGCAAAGAAGTATACATGTCTGCAATCTTCCCCTGTTTTCACAGCAAATAGAGTTGGAAAGGATTGTCGCCTGTTTTTTTTCAAAATGACAAGTCGGATTTGAATGGGGGGCGATTACTGACCTCCATAAGTTGAAACTCTCCAATGGGGCGGCCGAATTGTTCTCGTTGGCGGACGTAAGGAAGAACAACATCAAGACATGACTGCATGATGCCGATAGGTCCAGCTGCCAATACAAGTCTCTCTAAATCTAAACCCGACATCATCACATACACTCCTGAAATGGATGATCTTAAATATATATCATGATTCAACTTCAAAACTGAAGAAAAATCAAAGACTTCCAGTAGATACATTTTGGTCTATAGACGGGAAACACGAAAAGATTATATTCATACCTTTTCCCTCTTCACCAAGAACATTCTCTTCAGGAACGAAGCAATTATCAAAAACAAGCTCGCATCTGAGATTTGTAACAATCGGATAGTCAGATGGTATTGTTATTAAAAAAAAGATATGAATCAGACATGGGGTTATTTATTTAGTTAACATACGTATCACTTCCTCGCATTCCAAGTTTGTCCAATTTCTGGGCAGTACTGAACCTGCATTACATTTAGAAGGAAAAGAAAAAGTTCATACTAAATCAAGAAAAAGATACTTGGCATATATTATAGTCCAAGCAAGAAAAAGAAAAGATAGTTAATGTGTAGTATCAAATCTCGATTTTGTATACAAACAAGCACGTTTTCATCCCCTTAAAGCCATTGAGATGAAAAGATGTACCCCGGCATCCCTTTCTCAATAATGAATGCTGTGATCCCCTTTGAGCGAGCAGCAACATTTGTTTTAGCATAAACCACCTGATTTTGACCAACTAATAAGTCAACAAAGATACAAAAACGGATCATCTGGAAACTCTTTTGAAATGATTAAAGAATGGTTCATCATACAGTAATACAGAAGACATTATCAAAAACATATACTGAAATTCCGATACCAAAGAGTTTTTTAGAGATGAAATAAAGAATGTTCTAGACATATCTAAAAATTCTTGATAACTTTCTGGGTGTTATAACATTCTATATAAATGTACCAGAGTTTGAGCAATTGGACCATTGGTGCACCACATCTTATTCCCATTTAGAACATAACCGCCATCAACACGGTCAGCTTTGCATTTCATGCCAACAACATCTGAACCAGCTGACGATATGAAAAAGAAAGAAAAATCAACTCAAAATAAAGCATCATTGATCTAAAAGACAAGATATTCCAAAACTGTAAAATCGAAAATTACCATTCGGCTCACTCATCGCAAGAGCTCCCACATGCTCCCCACGGATTAGCTTTACAAAGAAAATGGAAGGAACTTAGCACGGAGTCATTAAAGGACGAAATGTGCACTTCGCAAACCAAAATTACATTCACTGAACAACTAGTACTAAATAAAACCTTGGGCAAATATTTTTCCTTCTGGGCAGCATTTCCATTTCTCACCTGCAAGATAGACAAACTTGTTAGACACGTATGAAGTGCTGAAAATTCAGAAATATAGAGTTTTTAGTGTTACCAATTGATTGATGCAGAGGTTAGAATGGGCACCAAAGGACAACCCGACTGATCCTGATGCACGGCTAATCTCCTCCAGAGCTATGCAGTGATACAAATAACCAAGGCCTAGTCCTCCGTATTCCTCTTCAAAACAAAATTAACTTTTACAATTGGATAATACCTCGTGTAGGCAACTCAAACCAAGAAGTAAAACTGAAGTCCACTTAAAGAGAAGGAAAAAGAAGTAATCTTTCCACGACTGCACAGCTACATGACTTATATCATATGTTCTTTTTTTGGCACAATATGCTCAGAAAAGTAGCAAGAAATCAAGAGAAATAGAGAGGATGCAGCTCTACCTGGAGCGGTAATTCCATGAAGATTAAAGTCACCCATTAGTTTCCATAAGTTAACCTCCTAAACCACAAACAAGCCATAGTCAATTTTTGGAGATCATATACATGCATTAGATATATAAAAACCAATAATGGATGAAACCTTTGGGAAATAATTTGTTCTGTCTATTTCTGGTGCATGAGGTGCTATATGCTCTTGGGCAAATTGAGCGACACTTTCTTTGAACTGTCATCATTGCAATAAGTTGTTAGAAAATAGCCAAAGCTGTCTTTTGAGACAAGAAATAGTAGTTAAGTTGGTAAAGTTTAAAGAATTCGAAATTGAAGATCGATAAGCTCAGCATCCTCCAATTCTCACAAGTCCACAAAAAAGGATAAAGTAATAACAATGGTAATCAAAACAATCTTAGAAATGCCAATTAACCAAATCATTTAAAGGGCAAACTAATGAGTATAATCAACCAAGCACTGTCAAAACAGAACAGTTGAAAACCATTCAACACACATAATAAATTCCACACTATTATCTCAAAACAAGCAAGATACTATCCAAAACTAAACTAGTAGAATTTATGGCTAGATAAAACATGATACTGGAAGTAGTTTATTCATTTTGCACTTCACAGTTTATCAAAATCATTTGAAGAGCAAGGGGCCAATTCAACCTTGATCAACTTGAGCTTACTCATAATCTGGATCTATTACATACCCAACTATATAAATCCCAGAATCTCTCTCCTTCGTTTATCTTAGTTTCATCATGCCGCAAATGACACCATAACTTATATCTAATTGGAATTGAAGTTTTAGACATTTGGAGTGCCTTTATATACAAATGTCAACAACAAACCACTAATCTATACGGGTCGAAGTGTTGGGAGAAAAACAAAATGCATGACAGGAGAATGGAAGTTACAGTATGAGGATGCTGAGGTGCACCTGCGGCCAGCCCATGTTAGATAGGATACCAGATGAGGCTTTCCAAGCAGGTCTGGGAGTCGCACTTATTAACAGTATTAAGAGAGGGAATACAACAGTGGGTTGAACATGTTCGCAGGGACAAACGGGTTAGGAGGGTGGAGAGAGTCACAGTCAAGGGGTTAAGGATGAGAGAGGGCATGCAAAAAGGACATGGGGAAAGCAACTGAAGTTGGATATGAAGGCATTAGTATCGTCAGAGTACATGATCTTCTTGTTCAGCCTGTCTTTGCGCTTCCAAGAAAAAATTGATTGCTTCAGACTCTTTGCTTTCTTTCATAAATCTAGAAGAATTATTTCTGCAAAATGTGGCTTTTAGTTAGGCTTCGCAAATCTTTCTTGCAACCCTAAGTTCTTCTAAGAAAAAATCTCACTACCTCTTGAGATAGAAGAAACGTGTGCCTGCATCTTATCTTACCCTATACACCCTACTTCTAACATATTGTAATCATAATTTTTGTTGCAAAATAACCATTAGAAAATGTCAAAAAAAAAATCTTACACTGGAAATTTTTGTGTTTTGGGAAATATAGGGTTAGTTTGACTACAGATAGCTATGATTAGGGAAGTAATAGCGGAGATTTGAATCTCCATGTCAATGACCCAATAGCTAAACTCGCAAAGTTTGGTAACAATTCAGATGATTACCATGCAATCAATAACAGCATTGGCATGATTCACAAATTGAACAACATAGTACCTTCCATTAGATTAAACAAACATAAATAAAATTGAAATCAAAAGCCAGAAGAAGCTAGGGTTTAGGGAACCTGTATCTGCGTATCATCGAACAACATAGAAGTTGAAAAGAAGGCTCGTTGATGTTGAAAAGAACCTTTGGTTACCGATAATGCAGCGAGTATTGATCTTGATCTCACCAATCTGTGCATCATCTTGAAACACAAGCACAGAAGTGGAGGGGGGTAAAGGGTTTAAAATAGGATCGACAACTGGTTTAGTTCCGTGACGAAATGGGGTTCCGAGTGGGGCCTGTGGCTCCATAATTAGACTGGCGGTCTTTTAGGGATTGGGTTGGGTATGTATGCGTGAGGGGGAGAGATAAGCTTCAACATAAGGTGATAAACGTGGATTCTTGAACATCCGAATTAATTGGATTTGTTGTGTGGCCTTGTCACTCGTGTATCAATAGGTGGTGAGATCGGTCAATGGAATAAGATCAGGTAGGCACTTGACCTAAAAAAACAAAAATTAAGTAATTTTAAAACGTTTCTTTGAATTATTAGGAGAGTGTTCGTACAATATAGCGAGATATATCTCGATTTTAATGTTTCGTTTTATTTCGTTTCTATAGATGTTTTAATACGGTTTTTATGTGGTTTTGAGAAATGAATAATGTTTTTATTTTCGAATAAAATATAAATATGAAAATATCATAAAATTTCAAAAATAAATATATCAATATTAGTATCAAATTAACTATCTAAAAGTTCTTGTTTTTCATGTAATTTTTTTAATTCAATTTTTTTATTATAATTTAGATTTACATTTAATAACAGAGTAATTTGTTTTTTAATTTAATAATATATAATTTTTTATAAGGATAATAATTAAGTATTATGTTAGAAATCAATGATGATTCTAATTATATTTTATATTTAAAATGAAATGTTTATCTTGTATTTGATTATGATTATCTGTAAGTTAGTTACACGAATTCAAACATAAAACTTTAATTAGTTGTACCTACGCACGGTTAGTTCGTAACTTTGAATTTTAAGTAATATGTATTAATAAACAGTACTTCATGCATAAAAATTTGTTTTCAAAAGTTTTTTTTAAATGCTTTATAATATAGTATAGATTTTATATCGTTATCTATGAGCAAACATGATACGGTATTATATTTTTTTTTTCAGTATCTTGTATCAAACAAGTATAATTGGTATGTAAAATTTTATATCATATATCAACCAACTAAATTAGTACCAATTTTTTTTCGGTTGGTACATGTTGGTCGATTTTGTATCAAATACAAGTTAAAGTTACAAATTTATTTATATTAACATCACCAACTAGATTCAGATACATTAAAACTATTGGGTATCCAAATAATATGTTGATACGTATTGTATCATTTATCAGTACATATACAAGCCTTAAAATAATTTGTATATGGTACAACTATTCATTAATAACTAGAAGGGTACTCGTGCAATGCATCGAGACACATCTTGATTTCAGTGTTTTGTTTTATTCTTTTTTTATGTCAATATAATACAGTTTTATGTGGTTTTGAAAAAAACGGTAATGTTTTTATTTTTGAATAAAGTATAAATTTGAAAATATCATAAAATTTTGCAAAAAAAATTATATCGATATCAGTATCAAATTAATATTTTTAAAAGTTCTTGTATTTTGATATAATTTCCTTAATTCAATTTTTTAATTATAATTTAATTTAAATTAGTAACAAAGAAATTTAATTTAGGTTTAATAATATAATTTTTATATGAATAATAACTAAATATTCAAATAGAACTCAATAATTATTCTAATTATATTTTATATTTAAAATGATATATCTATCCAATATTTGATTATGTTTATCTACAGTTAGTTACATGAATTTAAATATGGAGTTTTAATAAGTTGTACTTATGCACAATTTACTTGTAATATTAAATTTTAAGTAATATGCATCAATAAACAGTACTTCGTGCATAAAAAATTGTCTTTAAGAGTTTTTTGTCAAATACTTTATAATATAGTATAGATATGATACAAACGGACATTGAAAGTGATGACTAACTATGAAGATGTGGACGAGTTACCAAGCTTGTTAGAGTTGGGCGAATGAATTGAGTCAAATTCTATCTATCCATCCATATCATAATTTAGCAAAGAAGATAAGAGCATTTAAAATCAAAGCATGTTGTATTACACTAAACATTAGTTAATAATAACTAAAATAATAAGGGGTTGTTTACCAAATTTTCTATTAAGTCATCTCTGGATATATTTGTATGTCTGGATAAATTTATGTTGATGTTTACTTTTCTATCTGAATCAACAGTCTGAATAACATAAATGACCAATTTACCACTGAGCATGAACTACGCGTTGTTTAATAAATTGTTGTTCATTTTTTAAGGGAAATGATATTTCTGAAAAATAAAATATTTAAATATCAAAACATAAATTTATAAATTCATTGATGTCATCTAAAGTTCAAGACATAAATTCATTGATATCATCTAAAAATTAAAACATAAATTCATAAAATACTTAAAAATCCAAGTTCAAATACAAAGTAGCCAATCAACCCAACCTCTAGAATACAACTTTCTAAGAAAGTTTTGACAATATTGGGATTCTTCCAACTAATTCTAACCATTTGTTATTGTTGTGTTTCACCTGTTTGTTCCATACCTATAACGAACATTCGAGCTATTAAACAAGGAAAAGACATGATAACATTCTAATACAAATAACTAAACCAACCAAAGACTAGTAACATTGTAAACAAGTAAAGTCTCCAGCTTTTTCAAACTAATAAACCCAAACTGAAGACTAGTAACATTCAAACTTGAAGACTAGTAAACCAACCAAATTGTAAGGAAGCAAGTCAGTTGATAGTAAGAAGTATACATGCATCCCAGAAATTTTGAATAACTGTGGTTATAAAAGCCAACTGGGAATAGCTTGAATCCATGAAGTTTAATAGTCAAGAATTGAGATAAAAAAAGGAAGTTTAGTTGGGCTTTGTGTCAAACTAATGCTAGGTAAAGAGGAGTTGATTATGTGTTTCTGTCAAGAATCAATAATGGTATGTTTGATTTTAACAGAGTGAAGAATGGAAGGGAAGAAATCATAATCGTCAATATCTCCAATAAAACAACTGACAGACCAACTATTGAACCAATTGTTTGAGTTAAAAAAAAAATAGATATCATCTATTTTTAAAAAATAGATTATCATATGTTTGATTTGAAAGGTTATTTCAGATTTCATATACAACTGACAGACCCAACTATTGAACTTCAAGTTCCATATTTGAACAACTTGGTTTCTGAAACACTATGGCAGCATACAGATACTAAAAAACACTATGGCAGCATACAAAAGCAAACAGATACTAAAAAACACTATGGCAACATACAGAAGCAAACATATACTAAAAAACACTATGGCAGTATACAGAAACAAACAGATACTAAAAAAACACTATAGCAGCATATTCTGTTTTGGTGAAGCAAATACTATGGCAGCATACAGAAGCAAACAGATACTAAAAAACACTATGGCAGCATATTCTGTTTTGGTGAAGCAAATACTATGGCAGCATACAGAAGCAAACACTATGGTGATATTATGTTTTGGTGAAGCAAATAGAAGCAATGGAGAATGAAACATATAAAGCAGCAAACAGAAGCAATGGAGAAGCAAAACCTTCGGAGATGATAACAGATATGGAACTTAAAGTCGAAAATCATGAAATCGATAGATATCAGCTAGGGTTTCTTTCTAAAAGCAAATAATCGATAGATAAAGTGGAGAAGTGGTTACCTTTGGAGAAGAGAGGAATCGATTTGAAGAGATTAATCGGTCGATTATGGTTCTTTGGAGGAAAAGAGAGCAATGTTGATGGGTGTTGGGTTGAGAGAGGCGTGCGTTGTAAGGGTAGGGAGAGTTTTTTTTTGGCTTAATCTGGATAACTCATGTTTTTGATATGGGTGAATAAGCCCGAAGTAAACATACTATTTTTACTGTGCAAATAAGCTAATTTATCCATTAAGCTCATTAAGCCTCAAGTAAACACACCTTAAAATCGATATTGTATGGTCTTATTATGGTACACGAATTCTAATGCAACATTCAACCAAGTTTAGATAGTTGGTACTGTGCTACCGACCAATTAGATTGGTACCAACTGCATTGGTATCAATTAAATTGGTACGGTTGATATAAAAATTGGTTGGTTTGTCATGGTATAAAATTGATAATACCATCGAATCTAGTATATTATATAGCTTTTACTAAAGTTGACTAGCAAGGACTGAGCCAAAATTCCAACCTAGAGGTGGCTAGACAATGTTAAATGAATTGAACTTGGTTTATAGGTTGAATGTATTCACACAAGCTATTAATACGAGGTACGCGATTAATGTTGGTTGTTGTAAGGTTTGGAAGATTTTGAGAGAAAATTTGAGTTGATATAAATGCATAATTAAGAATTTTAAGCGATTATAAAAAAACAAATGAAAAAAAATCATGAATTTTGTGATTTTAATCTTATTCCATAAGATATCTGCATATAAAGAACCATATAAAAACATTACTGAGATATAATCAGTAAATATCAAAACATGTATATCTCTTGTTATAAAAACCAAAACCACTTGGCCAAAACCAATGAGACCAAAACTAAAAAAGTTTGAGGTTAAATAGATAACAAAAAGAAATGAAATATAAAGAATGGAAATTAGATGATTGGAACGGTTTTAATACGAAACTCTTATATATTTATTGGTTTATTATTTTATATTATGTTGATTTATTTTAAGATAAAGTTTTATCTAAAGGAGATAAAACCTAATGAGTTTAATTTGATTAAACAAGTAGAGACTAAAATTATATAAAAAGAAAAAGAAAAAGAAAAAGGAGTTAGATAAATGAAGTCACGAAAGAAGTGATATTTGATATCGATGTTTATCCTATGAGTTTAAAAATATGATATATATGCTGTTTGTATTAAAAAAAAACAAAATGCACAAAATAGCAATCTACTTTCATAAATTTCTTTATTATAGTATTGTACTTCTAGTTTTTCTTATTACAACAATGTACTTTCAAACTATTTTTTATTAGAACATTGTACTTTAAAAAATTTACCCATTATAGCATTGGGTAACCTTTTGATTTAAATTTACCTATTACACCAGGTTTTCATGCCACCTCATTGTCCACGTAGACTGTCCACATGTATTATAGTGATGTGACTTTACAACATTGTACTTTCAAAATTATTTTATTATAGCATCTACTAGATTTTATTAAACAATGTACTTTTAATATTTAGATATTTTACATGTTATTAATAAATATATTAAATGAATTAAAATAAATCTAAATTATTCATTAATATACCAATATTAATAAAACTAGTAAAAGACAACTTATCTCGCTAATATTTTTTTAAAAATGTGTTTTTTGAAAAAAAAATAAGAATTGGTTATTTTTTACCAAAAATATATTATCTTCTAAAGAATATATTTTATTTGTTTAAAAACTTTTACTTGACGCATAAATGTATTAAATTAATTAGATTTTTTTGAATTATTTATTAATATACCAATATTAAAAAATTGTAGAACACAATTTATTTCGTTAACATTTTAGAGAGAACTTTAAAAGATGTGTATTTTTTTGAACAACAGAAAATGAGAAGTGTTATCTTTTTTACAAACAAAATATATCTCGGAAATAATGTAGCATATTTATTTATGAAATATTTTACTCTAGAATATTTAATTTGCATGCAACTTAATAAAAAAAAGTCAAAAAAATTAATTATTTTTTTAAATCATAACAATGAAAAATGAAAATTACAAATAATTTTTTATTTTTATTTTAAGAAAGTTACCAAAATGATGTGTCATCCACATCACCTCATTAAAGCCACACAAGCAAAAAAAAGTCAAGGGGTTAACCGGTTTAAAAGGTAATAGGTTACTCATTGTTATACTGGGTAGATTTTTTAAAGTACAATGCCTTAATAAAAAATAATTTGAAAATATATTGCTGTAATAAAAAAAAAAACAAAAGTAGAATGTTATAATAAGAAAATTTATGAAAGTAGGTTGCTATTTCATGCATTTAATCCAAAAAAAAATAACAATTCTTGAGTTAAAGGAAGTAGTGTTCAATTAATTTCGCCACCCAAACTACTCACACTAATCCTCGACTTATTGTTTCAGAACTCGTTTAACTTTTTTCGAAATGTAATATGTATATAATATAAGTTTGGGTTCGATGAGAATGAGAGTTATGATGAGAAGTGTAAGAAGCGATCTTCACCCTTGTATGCACATTACATTGAGATGCACCAGCTCAATCTCGTATCAAACACGAGTCATGAGTGGGTTTGAGATTAAAGATGATCAAGAGTTCAAATCTCTTCTTATGTTTCTCACATTAACTCTCCTTCTCACACAATATATATAAAGAGAGGGAGAGATAGGGTATCAAACGAGAACATCATCAAAACTAGAAAATATGAGACAACCAAATCAAATACAATTACTAAATGCAATCAACACATGGATGCACGGATGACTTGGCCTGCGACTTAGGTCGTGCATGTGTAAAATCACATGTGAATTGATCGTTCTCATGTTTTTTTATTTGATCATCGTTCTCATTGAGCACAACTCTCCATGTTATATCTATATATATACTATATTATAAAGCATTTGACAAAAACTCTTAAAAACTACTTTTTATGTGTAAAGTACTGTTTATTACTGCATATTACTTAAAACTCAAGATTGCAAGTAGATTATGCGTAGATACAACTTATTAAAGTTTCATATCTGAATTTGTGTACTACTTTTTATGTGTAAAGTACTGTTTATTAATGCATATTACTTAAAACTCAAGATTACAAGTAGATTATGCGTAAGTACAACTTATTAAAGTTTCATATCTGAATTTGTGTAACTAACTGCAGATAAACATAATCAAATACAAAATAAACATCTCATTTTAAATATAAAAAATCTAAGATATAATTAGAATAATCGTTGAATCCTAACAGAATACTTAAATATTATCTTTATAAAATTTATAATATAAAACCAAAAATAAATTATTTCATTATCAAACTTAGATTAAATTATAATAAAAAATAAATTAAAGAAATTACATAAAAAATGAGAACTTTTAAATAGTTGATTTATATTAACATTGTTATAGTTATTTTCAAATTTTTATGATATCTTCAAATTTAAAATCATTATTGCTTTCTTAAAAACACATAAAATCGTATTATAACATCGACAAGGACAAATAATAAAATAAAACATTAAAATTGAGATATGTCTCACTACGCAAGTACTCTTCTAGTATATATTAATAATAACAAGAATAAGAAAATATTCTTTTTGGAATTGAATCATTGAGAATGCAACCCAGAAACAGTTGCCGAAATTGACTGAAAAAAACTATTTAAGTTAAACTTTTTGCAACAACTTGACGTAATTAATCGACTGGTCTTTGAATTTTTTTTGTTCTTTAATAACTATATAGTTGCTTCAGGCACATCATGGGTTTTGGTTAGTATGATGTTATATAAAGAATTCAATTCAAAAAATGTGTTGTATATCAGAAAATATTATTATATCAATGAAAACACCTTACAAACAAATGTCACACCTTTATTTTCGATCTGACTAGGTTGACCATTGTCGACTTTTCAAGTTTTTGAACTTGTAAACCAAGTAATGTAACAATTATAGTTGGTATGTAAAATCAACTATCAAATATGTATACAAACTTATTTGATTACCAATAATTTACAGGACCATGACAACCCTATAAAATCAAACAGATAATGTATGGGACTATGACTAGAAGGCTACAACATGGCATGTTCCTACACGAGTACACAAAATGTTAAAAATATCAAATTACAAGTATTTTATTAAACAAGGTTGAGTTCCGGTGAGAATGAAAGTTATGGCGAGAAGGGTAAGAATGGATCTCCACCCTTGGATCAATCATAATTGTAGAGAAACACCAATGAGATACACCGACTCAGTTCCCTTCTAAAACATAATTCCTAGGTTGGTTTGATTAAAAGTGATCAATGGTCAAAATCTCTTTACATTTGTCACATTAACTCCTATTCTCACACAGTCCTCCATCTTAATTAACATAGGACCACAGTATAGCACCGACCTAGCCCCTGCTAATAAATGTTGATGACATAAAATTGAAGAAAACTTGGGTGAGTTTTAGCGTGTTATTTTTCTGGGTTGCATATCATAAATATCTTGTCCTGTTATTATGTGTTCATGTTCTGTTAAATGATACCACTTCTAAATTGTAAGAGTAGACCAGATTTGCCTGCTAGGTTTGTAAAAATTTAATCGTAAAAGCAAACAAGCGAATTTGGCATGTTCAAAGAATAAACCGTAAGAGCAGACAAGTGTAAGCCACTTTCGTCCTTGTGGTTTCAAGATTGCAGCTTCCGTCTCTATGGCTTGTAACTCATTGCTATTTCACCCACAAGGCTACTTCCTACCTTTTAAGTATAAGGACAAAAACAGTAAAGGATTGTAAACCACAGGACGAAAATAGCAATACATTGTAAATCATAAAGACAAAAAAACAATGAATTGTAAACCATAGAGATGAAAATCATATTTTACAAACCGCAGGGACGAAAACCAATTTACTCTAGCCACAAAAAATGTTGATCAAACATTCTTTTTCAAATACATAATCAATGAACTCCTAACGCAAGTAGTAGTTGAAAATGTCAATCGGGTTTTTCCGAAAATATAAAATAGTCTCAAGACAGTTGCTGAGCACCCCTCTAACACGCAATAAGCCTTTTTCCTGTCAGATAGTCGTTTTGACGTTAACCGGCCCTTCTCTTCTCCTAAAACGTTACTGGTATCTAGATACTGCTGTCTAAATATGTCATAACTATTTCCTAACACATAAATTGTCACAAGAAATGTCAATCAGCCCTTTCTAACACATAAATTGTTGCTAGAAATGTCAATTACCTTTTTTCTAACACATAAATGGTCACTACTAAAAGTTAAATCAGCTTCTTCTAACACAGCAGTTAGTAGCTAGAAATGTTAATAAGAAATACCTGCAACTAAAGAGAACCAAAGTAGATGATCTCCATTGAATTCTGTTTTGAGAAGACATGGAAGATAGCGGTGGAAGTTCCATATTTGTCTCCAACAGTTGGTATCAACTAAACATCAACAGTTTCAACATGGGAAATATTCACTCACTGTTTTCATCATCGAGAACTGGAAGAATTCCCAACGCTGAAGAGCCAAGATGCATTCCTCGAACAATGCCTCCATAATCAGTCTTGATCTTATGGCATAGAAGCAAGACAGAGTCCCAAAGTGCTGTTCTTCCCTGCAATTGAAATAACAATTATTGGATTAACAAAAGAGCAAGATGAAGCCTCAAAGTTCAAATCTTTGAAAGTATTGTACGCTGATTTCCCTTAAAAAGTATCTGCTGACCATATCGTCAAAAAAAATGTACTCCCTCAGCCCCAAAATAAATGCAAACTCTGTTACAAACAACTCATTCAAGAACATGTGATTTTGGGGCGAAAACAACTACATTTTGCAAAAATAAGTGATTTTAGGGGAAAAAGACAAACACTGTGATCTTCTTGCGTTTATGTTTTTCATAATTTGTCCAGAAAAATGCTAATTCATTCAAGCAGTGGACTTATTGTCGATTCTTTTGCAAGAACAGTGGTTAGTTTGTAAAAAAAAGCCAAGTTATGATAGTTCAAAAAGTCAATGACTTCTTAATTATCACCATACCTCAAAAGAAAACTGGGGCTTCTTATCCCAATACAAGGCGAAGATCGGGGGGCTTTGTTTGCCAACAGCCAATAAACAAGCTCCAGGATGAAGCACGGAGGGGACTCCTGTAATTACAGCCAAATACTTCTCTGGAAACCGCTCTTTAGGTGGAAGTACACCTAAAAATAAAGGGTTCTTGCTAGACTGTGCACCAGCATGAGATGTAGGATCTACATGTAGCATCCACTTCGGGTGTTCCAAGAAAGCACAAAATAGATACGCCAGCAAATGAGAGTCTGTTGGAACTTCATTCCATTTCTTATTCAACTTGTCTCTGTTCGTTATATACTCGAAGTTCTTAACACAGGTTCCTACAGCAAGTTCTGCGAGATATTGACACATGGGTTATCTCAATTTATTTTTCATGCACTAAACTTAAGTGCCCAATTTGATTACTGTTTTTAATATAGAAGCTATCAAGAAAAAGGACTACCTCGGATTCTCCGAACTGTATAATCTCCCCGTATACTGCTCTGTGGTAGCAAACCCTTCGCCCATTCCCCTTTCACCAAAGCAAGAAGCTTCTGATGTTCAGTTATGACATCTATAAATTCCTGTATGACAGGGATCGAAGGGTTTTGCGCTGGCATCTGTTGGAAACCACCCAGAGGCGACTTTGCTACAAAAGTATGAAATTGAAAAGCCTTTTCAAAAAAGAGCGCAGTGTATAACGACCATAAAGAAAATATCCCTCCATTCAGTACTGTGAACATGACAAGAATAACTAGATTTTACAGGGAATAGCAAAAAATGTATTAAACCATATAGCAGATGTGAGTTATATCAGACCAGAAAATAGTCCATATGAAAAACAGGTCAAAGTAGAAGTCTCAACTTGGATAAATAACAGGACAAAGTGACTTACACATGGAAGCATCTAGAGTTTGAACAAGAGTAGTGCGTAACTGAAGAAGAAGCCCTTCTTCGTCAAGGGTATATGCAGGCTGCCAATCGTTATTTCTCTCATTGGAAGAGACAGTTGCAGTAGCTCCTACTGTCGAATCAAGTCCTACCTTGCTGATTGTAACAGATATACCAAGTTTAGCAGCAGCCTCCATAACCTATGCAATCAAACACGAAATGTTCTAAATAACATGCTATACTTCAGCCAAACAATCAGGGCCTGCATCAAGAAAGTATGCACTATTGTAGGATGTTTTATGTTCCCAAGAACCTAACAAACTATCATCTGAAAGTTTGTATTATTAGTCCACAGGGTGGACGTGGGTCCAAATGATTAAAGAAACATAGTGCACGAAAATGTAAAAGAACATGCCAATTTTGGACATAGAGGACTTCCCTATTTTTGCTTAAAAAACGCTCAAACGCCTGAATTCAATTTAATCAAAACATGAAACCTTTTTCTGTGGAGCGCACTGAAGCAATGGCAAAAGCAGATAGCCCTTTTAAGGGTGTGATTCTCAAGATCAGGATAAACCTCTTTTCCTTGTCCAGGTAAGCGTGTGAAAAGGAATCCTCAGTCCCCATGTGTATGACAACGTTATTCACTGCAAATTTTTCTTCTGTTTACCTTTTTTTGGATGGGTATCTCAGGCTATGCCTGGACTAATCCCGGCAAATTGTGGTGGCCACAATTGTTGTAGACGCCAGGAATCGAACCCAGGGCCAGATGCGATATTCCACCACATCCCCCCAGGTCTTGACCACCACAACCCTTGTGGCTTTCTTTTGTTTACCTTAAAGATGGATATAAGTGCTTATAGAAAACAACTGACCTAGTTTTAAATAATCTAATCAACATGATATAAAAAAATTGTCTTTTCATCTCTGTGGTGTCTTGTTATGCAAAAGCCGCAATTGTAGCATTTTTCAGTATTAAAACATCAGCTATGGTTTGAGCAAGTGAATAATACATGAAACAGATACAATAATTATATTTTTAAAAAGTGAGCCCAAATACATGATGAAGAAGCATCAGCTATCATGTATGAACACATGTCATGCTGGATGTTTAACTTCAGCAAAAAGATACAAGTGAAACAGCTTCTTAATCGCGAAGATTTTCATGACTACTTTTATCAACAAAGCTGGGCGCTATCTTCTTAAAGATTTATATAAATCTAGATAGAAAACAAGAGACATAAGAACTTAAGAAGTAACTAACCTAGGGAAGGAAACATATTAATAGGCTTGTATTAAGAGTACGGGGGGTGGAAGGTACTAACATAAAGACCATGAATAATTTATGTCAGACAGATTTTACTGTGTCGATTTTCATGTGATCTGATATGTGAAACCTGTTCAAATTATTGAACATTGGGACCAAAAATATTCTACGGATTTTCAAGTGGATGGAATGAGCCCATAAATGTGTAAACCATCTAATGTTTGATGCTAAATTTCCTTGTGTATCAACTTTGCACATAGGCTTTCATAACATGTCAAAGATCATTGTGTTTATGGGGCTTCTCTATCCCATTTTAACGTTTTACTTTCCCCAGTGAATTCTAGACCAATCAAGATATCAATACTTGGTAGTTTGGTAGACACTCTTAATGCACATATTATTGCAATTTCAACTTCTAAAAGGCGTGACCATATTAGTCAACTGATGGTCATCCTTTGTGAAATTACTCAGCTGCAGATAATGACATAACATTTGTCGTCAAAGACTAAGCAATTTGGATGAATTATTATTGTACATGGAGTTCTAAACCAGTCGCTTAACTGATACTTGCAGGGAAAATGGCCAAAAGATAATTTTATTGTTCATATTACCTCCATGAATATTAATTGTGCAGTTTTAACAGACAACTAAAATTAAGTAGATCACAAATTGCAACAAACCTTTATGTGGCTAGTATCGATTTTTGCAAGCAAGGGATTCAGCAGAACTGAAGAAAACCACTGCCTGAGATGGTCACGCCACTGCTCGATTTGTGGATAGACGCCTAGGCGTTCGAAAGCATCAATTGACTCTTCCATGGACATGGGTGGAGGGAGATCACCCTCCCCTTTCTTTGGTGGAGTACTGAACTTCTGAGAACCAGGGGACATGCGAACGGGCCTTAGAGGTGTACTTCTCGTAGTACCAGAAGTATTGGTACTGGGGCTAGATATACCAAGCCCGCTTATTGTGGGAGGTGGAGTAACGACTTTACCAGCAGACATGGAAAACTTCTCATCAAAATCCGCCAAGAATGTTTCAAGCTGTTTTTCTGTTGATATTTCTCGGGTAGAAGATGCTCGCTTACTTGACCAAGGAGTGGAGACATATTGATCCAGGCCTGGTGGTGTCTTTAAATTTGGTGATTGTGAAGGGACAAGATAGACTGATGGAGAAGCTGGTGGCTTAGAAGAGGTGCTGAAAGAATGCATCTTGTTTCCACTACCAGCAGTAGATTTGTCACTGTTTATACGAGTTGAATGGTCTGAACCCATAAATGGTTGGTGGAGGGGGACAAGTATATTTGAAGGTGATGTGTTAGCTTTAGGTTTGGGTGGCTCCTTTGAAGACTTTGATTCAGCCTGTTCAAACTTTGGCTTTATTCCCAACAGCTCCAGTTGTCGTTTGGTCAGATTTAGTTTCTCGTTGGAGCCAGTAGAGGTAGATGCAGCTGTAGCAGCTCTTGTTTTCCATAACGAGATGGCTTTGAGAAGGGCAAATAAGGATCCAATCAAAACCAGAGCCATGGCAGCCTGCATCACTTTCAGAAAGAGATCTGTGTACAAACATAAAAAAAATCAAGGGGAATATCAAGCTGATAATTTTAGAAGAATCTAAGTCTAGAAAATCCATTACGAAGAATATTACTCACAAGCAACGTCTTGAGTAACATATCTGAGCTTGGAACTGTCAACAATTTCGTTTTCCCTTGAATAGTACACAACAAATTATTTATTAGTCACTGAATGCAAGAAAACCAGTATAAAAGAAACAAAAACAATCAATCTTGGATATTTATTTAGCAAGTTGTATAATGTCAGATATTTCAGAATTGCAATCACCTAAAGAACTGCCATTTTATGTTTGAAGACATGAAAGGAAAACAGATGAGCCAAACTACGAACCTGGTTATGAACTAGACCTTTATATTTTAGTATACTTCTTACACATTACAAATCTAATTCATGATAACATTGCATGAACAACCATCATGAGATTTTACGTAAGAAATGGAAAATAAGCAATGTTGTAATTCTTTCCAAATTCAGGTCATTTTTCAAAATACATGGATGCAACCGTTCGTTTCAGCCATATTCACTTGAATTTAACTTCTAGATTAAAATTCAGGCGTTACAGCCACTAGCAATTTCATAGAGATGCAAACATGCTCAAAAGGAAATATAAATATATAGAGAGAGAGAGAGGGAGGATCAAACAAGAACAGTTCCTATTTTAAAAAAATATGTTTACGGGCGAATCATCACATTGATTTAAGCGACCTTGCCCGGCGACCTGCAGAAGTCGACCGGACACTTTTTTTACCAGTAAAATCACATGTTTTCGTTTGATCCTGCCTCTCTATACACACACACACACACACATATATATATATAACAAGCAAAGGTTTCATCCAAATACAAGTATATGAAGTAGCAGAAACGACTACAACAGCGCTTTGTTGACGAATGCAATCGAATACGAAACAGAGAAGTCACTGTAATAGTGAAGGGGAAAGCAGGGGGTATGTAAGGTACCTGAGAATGAAGAAGAGGGAGAAAGCAGAAGCAGAGGAGATAGAAAGAATGAAGATGAAAGTAGAGTTGGAGGGGCGGAGGCTGTTGGTGGTTAGGGCAGCAGAGACAGCAGGGTTCTGATACACCGCAAACTTCGTACCGGGATTAGATGGGGCCTTTCTTCCTCCTCCCTCCATTGGTAGAACGATTTCTGAAGAATGCGCGATTTGGTGCGATAGGGTTTATACTGTTACGCCATTGATAACCTTCTCATCTCAAGCTCCCAGGTTCAAAATAGGGCAGTAAACTTTCCAACTTCAAAAAACACGAACTGTTTGGTCGGCATTTTAAATATAAAACTTTCTCGTAAATTAATAGTGAAAATTCAATCAAATTCTAATTTTAAACAGAACCCATAATTTATGAAGTAAAACAACATTTTCAATATATTTTTATAATTTATTTAAAATAAAAAATTAAAATCAAAATATATATAGAAGGGTTACATTTAATTTTAACGGATTTTTTATTTTAAAATTTCAGCTATCTATATCTTATTTAAACTAGAAAGGTACTCGCGCAATGCAGCGAACTACATTTTTATTTTAATATTTTATTTTATTCTTTATCTCAATCGATGTTATAATATTAAAAATCTTGATGTTTTTATTTTTGAATAAGTTATAAATTTGAATATATCATAAAAATTTGACAAAAATATATCGATATTAGTATCAAACTAGAAGTGTACTCGCGCAATGCAGCGAGATACATCGTGATTTTAATATTTCATTTTATTCTTTATCTCAGTCGATGTTATAATATAGCTTTATGTGATTTTAAGAAAGCGATGATGTTTTTATTTTTGAATAAAATATATGTTTGAAGATATCATAAAAATTTGACAAAAATATATCGATATTAGTATCAAATTAACTATT